GGTGAGATGGGGCCGAGGGAGGGGGGAGGGAGGGGTTGAGAACAAGACACAGAGGGGGCGCGTCAATGAGGCAGTGCGCCGAGCGGCGCAGCGCTCACACAAGCTTCGCGCGTATGCAGCGCGCGAAGGCTCGGCCTTTGCCCGCTGCGCCAGCTTGTGGTATCAAGCATTTGACCCGCGCCGCGTCCACGCGCCGGCGCGCGACCATGCGGCCACACACTCGCCGCGCGGCAAATGTGAGGGCCATGTCGAATCAAGACACGTGGGGCCCCGCCAGACTGCACGCACCTGGATGATGGCCACGCCGCCGCTGAGGCGCGCGATGCGCTCGTTGAGCTTCTCGCGCTCGTAGTCCTGCTCGGTCGCCTCCGCCAGGTTGCGGATCTGCTTCACGCGCGCGGACACCTCCGCCTGGGTGCTGCCGTCGCCCACGATGGTGCACGACTCCTGCGGGGGCCGCGGGGGATGGCGGTGACGTGCACGTCGGATGAGCGGCTGGCGGGCGGCTGCACGACAGCAACGCGAGGCCGGTCTCCGGGCATGATATCTGGACGTGAGCAGCACGCGCCGCCACAGCCCCATCCACCAAGTAGGTTTTCCTCGCCACGCGGCCATACCAAAACAAGAGGCACACACGCTCTGACACACACTTCCAAAACACACACACACACGCACACACATGCGCGCGCACACGTCGTCGCCGCCCCCGCCCCGCACCTTGCCGATGACGACCTTAGCCGCCGTGCCCAGCACCTCCTCCCCTGCCTTGTCCAGCGTGATGCCCAGCTCCTCCTTGATCAGCTGGCCGCCGGTGAGGATGGCAATGTCCTCCAGGTAGGACGTCTTGCGCTCACCAAACCCGGGGGCCTTCACGGCCACAACCTGGAGGGGTGGGGTGGTTTGTGGTTTTGTGAGTGTGTGTGTGTGTGTGTGTGTGTGTGTGTGTGTGCGCGCGCACGGCGCGCACGCGTGCGCTGTGTCGTCCGCAGCTGATGATCCGCAAAAGGAGCAAACAAATAGGATTGTTTGTGCGCCCGGTCACACAACTCTGCCATGCCCGCCATGCACCGCCACCCCTCCCTCCCGCCGCCGTTCCGCCGCCGCGGGCCCACCTTCAGGGTGCCCCTCAGCTTGTTGACCACCAGGGTGGCCAGGGCCTCCTGCTCAATGTCCTCGGCCATCAGCAGCAGAGGGTAGTTGCCGCGGATGGCGGCCTCCAGCTGGCCTGAGGGCGGACGCATTTTGGGGGGGGGGGTGGGGAGGAGGGGGGTTTGTATGAGGACGGGGCGCAGGCACCAGCGCCGACACCATGTTGAAAGCAACCGGCACACGTTCGATGGGGGCTCCAAAGGCACCCTTGTGGTAGGGCGCGCACACACGCCAACACGCTCGCACGCACGATCACGCGCAGGCGTGCGCGGCAGCCGCGGGGGCCCCCCCACTGTGCGTCGCCAGCGGGGCCCGGGCAGCTGCTGGGTAGCTGCTAGACATCCCCCTTGGCAGTATGTCCCCTCAAATGCCCTCCCCCGTGGTTGCTCACTGATGATGTCGCGCGCGGTGGAGATCTTCTTGTCAACCAGCAGCACCTTGCAGTTCTCGTACTCCGCCACCATGCGCTCGGGGTCGGTCACAAAGTAGGGGCTGTAGTAGCCGCGGTCAAACTGCGGGGGGCGGGCGGCGGGTGGGGTCGTTCGTTTGCATTAAGAGGCGGTGCGTGCGCGCGGGTCGGCAGCGCGTGCAAGCATGCGCGTGTGAGGGGAGGAGAGGGGCGCAGCAGGCCTATGTCGGGCGTGATCCAGACGGTCACGCGACTATTTTGATGCAAGCCTTCAACACACCAACTTGCCTGTGTCGCAGGGGAAGGCAGGCCCCCTTGACTACCCCCCACCCCCACCCGGGCACACACAGATGCACCCGCTTGCACCCATACCGCGAATCACATCCACGCGTCAAACATCTCAACCCCATTTTCATCCAGCAACCAGACCCCCACCTAGTCATTCCTTGACCTCCCAACCCCCCCCCCCCAACCCACGTTCACACCTGTGCGTGCACGCAAACATTCACACACAAATACACACACTCTCCCTCTCTCATTATCACTCATGCACACACTCACACTCACTCTCTCTCTCATGCAAGCACACACACACACACAAACACACACACGCGCGCGCGCTCACGCCCGCACCTGCATGCCCTCCACGAACACGAGGCTGTCCTCAGCCGTCTTAGACTCCTCCATGGTCACCACGCCCTGGCGCCCGACCTTGGCCATAGCGTCGGCAATCAGCTGCCCGATCTCGGGGTTGCCGCCGGCTGCAGGGTTGACATTTCAGTGCGGGGGCCAAAGACGCGCCGTCAGCAAAGGGAGCGCAGGCGGCCTCCACTGCTGGCTGACCCTGAGGCGCCTCGGAAAGCGACCCGCGTCACTTGCTTGGATGCCCGCCCGCTGAGTCCTACGCGGCCGAACCCGGGCCCCATCCCACGGCGCGAGGCCGGCCCCAGCAGCTGCCAGCAACACCACAGTCCCAGCCCCGCGCACCCGACACCGAGGCCACGTTGGCGAGGTCCTTGTCAGAGGCCACCTCAGTGGACAGCTTGGCCAGCTCTTTCACCAGGCCGGCCACGGTCTTGTCCTGCGGATGAGATACAAGGGTGCGTCGGAGAGCACGAGGGGCAGCGGCATGTGATGGGTTAAAAGGCAGGCTGCCGGGGCGCGGTGCGCCTCCCCGCCGCGGCCGACGCACTCGGCAGCTGCCCTGCCAGAATACGCCAACAGCACCAACGCGGCAGCCCCAGGGCCCGGCCGCCGCCGCCTTCGCCGCCCGATGCGCCCGCTTCCCTCCAGCCACGGCCGATGCCGTCGCGGCTACTGCCGCCGCCCTCACCATGCCGCGCGTCAGCTGGACGGGGTTGGTGCCCGCCGCCACGATCTTCATGCCCTCGCTAATGAAGGCCGCAGACATGATAGTGGCGGTGGTGGTGCCGTCGCCGGCCGTGTCGTTGGTGCGCGCGGCGGCCTGGCGGACGAGCTTGGCGCCGATGTTCTCGACGGGGTCCTCCAGCTCGACCTGTGAGTGGGGGGCGGGGTTGGCGGGCAGCGACACGCGGGTTGGCTAAGGAGTCCCTTTCCGCGTTCGACGGTGTCCCGACCACGCGGGCCTGCCACGCCCGCTGGTACCAATCGTGGGGCCAGGAGCAACAGCGGCGCAGCCCGGACTGAAAGTGAGCGCGATGGGACCGAGGGGAAGAGAAAGGGCGCAGCCGTTCCTCCAACCGACGGCGGGGCCCGCCGTCGGTTGGACGCCGCTGCCGCCGCCGATGCGCCGCCGAGGGATGGCGGCCAGGCGCGAGCGCACCTCACGGGCGATGGTGACACCGTCGTTCACGATCTTGGGGGAGCCGTACTTGGACTCAAGCACCACATTGCGGCCCTGAGAGGGGCAAGGGTGGCGCCGGGATGGGGGCCGTCGCGCCCGTGAGGCAGGCGCGCGAGAAGCTTCCGGGGGTCGCCGTGCGTCGGCCGCGCAAGGGTTGCCCGCGAGCCCAAGCGGCAGGCACAGGGAGCTCGCATTGGTGAACGCTAGGTGGCGTTGTAAGGGAGCTGCCAAGATCTTCCAATGTGGCTGCTCGCGAACGGGTGGTGATGGCGGCAGCTGGCCGGCTCGGTTCCCTGGACTGCTCCGCCAGGTGTGAACCCAGGTTCACTGTTGCAAGCCGAAGCGGTGCTGTGCTTGCTTCGCCTGGCACTCCTCTCCAGGCACCTGCAACTCCGCCGCTGCAGCAGTATCCGCGGCTGTGGCTTAGCTAGCACAGCAGCCTGGCGCCCCGCCCTTGTCAATCCTATCGTCGCCGTTGCACACCTTGGGACCCAGGGTAACGCCAACCACAGTCGCCAGCTTGTCGGCACCAGCCTGCATCTTCTTCAGCGCCTCCATGTTCTTGTTGAAGTGCAGCTCCTTGGCGGCGCGCACCACCTGCATGCGCCTGCGTCGATTGTACACGTGGGTGTGCGCCGTGCAGCAGCGAGTGCGGCGGCAGGCGGCGGTGCAGCGGCGAGTTGGCAAGGGCGCATATGCCAGGCCCTGCGACGCTGTATACATCCAAACATTGGCTCAAAGCCATTGTGAGCAGTGCCTGGCTGCCATTGGGGCAGTGTGGAGGGAGGGCATCGAGAGAGATCGAATGCCAATGGCGTCCGCCAAAAGGGCTCATGCACCACCGCGCTGCTCGCATGAATATTGAACGCACCTGCTCTTTCCAACCATGCGGGCGCCCGCCAGGGGCTTGCCCGCGTTCAGCCTGCGTCGGCACACGGCGTTCCATGTGAGTGTGCTGGCGGCGTTCGACGGAGCGCGAACAAGCGATATCGTCACATCAATTATGTCGCATATGCATGAGAAATCACGTGCAAGCCGCCTCAGTCTCACCTCTGCATCGCGGTCTGCATCGCTGCTGGCGTGCGCAACGAGGGGCACGGGATAAAGGACGCAGAGGACAACGTGAAAAGGACGAAGCAGGGAAGACAGGAGCCAAATGGCTGGCGCACTCGAGCTTTTTTAGCGAAGCTGCTGGTGACCAGACTCTGGAAACCTCTGCAACTACACGCGTTCGAGCCGTCAGCTCCTGGCACAATGTTGCGCACATCTATGAATGATTATATGAGGCCGTTCGAAGCACGGCATGGACCCGGGCAGGCGATCGCATTTGGCCCGTCCATGCGGTGTGGGCAGCAACACCCAGGCATGCATCCTCAACATCACACCAGACTGCCACCTGATCCCCATCACTGGACAGACAGTCTTACAAGACTCTAGCGCAACACAACGGTGCTGGCCGAGACGATATCTGAGGAGGCCGAGGAGGGATGCTGCGATGAATGTTGAATTGACTGCAGTGCTCCCCCCTTGCGTTCGCAACGTCAAGGCTGTGCCTACGCAAACACAACAGGCGCTCCTCTCGCGGCATGCACAGTGCTGTGCATTGTGGGTCAAGAGGTAGTATTCGATAGACTACTCAACCCGAACACTGTTTAGCACGCGCGCTGCTCAACCACACCCGAGTGCGGGAACTCTTCCAGCCAGGCCAGAAGTACAGCTGGGACACCAGGCGCGCAGGGTCCAATCGAGCACGAGTCTCGCAGGGCCTCGCCGCTTGTATCTAGAAGCACATGCGGGATGCGTACGTGCGTGGCCATAAGTTCCATACTACATCCGGCCATCACACCATCCTCGCAGCCCCGCTAGACGCGCTTGCCGGCGCCCGCCCTGACAACGGGCTTGCCCGCCGCCGCGCCCCTCTTCACGCCACCGCCGGAGCCCTTCTTGCCGCCCGCAGCCTTGCCGCCCGCGCCGCCGCCCGCCCGCCCGAGCAGCGCGGCCAGCAGCGGCAGCAGCACCAGCAGCGGCAGGCCTATGAGTGCGTACACCACGGCCTGGATGATTACGGGGTCGACGTAGGGCGCAAGCGCCGGCACCGCCCGCATGTGCGTCTCCACCACGCCCGCCAGCTCCTCCTGCACCTGGACAGCCCTGATGCTCGCCGACCGCGCGAGGCTGGACGCGCGGGTGTACGCCTCGGACGCATACGGCCCGACCTGCTCCGCAACCTTGGACGTGATCTCGCTCGCCTGCGCCGCCACCTGGCCGGCGACCTCGCTCGCCTTCACCGCGGCCGCGCCAAACGTGGGGTTGGACTGCAGCTCCGCCCACTGCGCGTTGAGGTGGCCGCTGGCGCTGCGCGCCAGGCGCACGAGGCCGGGCGGGACGATCGCCTCCTCGGCTTCCTTGAGGGCCGCTTCTGCCCCGGCCAGGGACGCCTTGAGGGCTGCCAGATCCTTGTCATACTGAGAGTGCCACGGAGGGTGCAATGCAGGATTGGTAAGAATTTCGAGGTTGGAGGTTGCACTGGGAAGAGGCATCACTTAGTGTTGATGGGTATGAACACTGGTCTCCTGTACCTCTACCAGACAGGGTGAGGTGCAGGAGGTATGCACCTTAACAAGAGGGCCGGTGACGAGCCGCACGTATCAGCAAGTTGGCTCCACAACAACAAATTCCCGGGCCCTCATCGCCACCTCCTCGCCCTCGAGCGCGTGGGAATTGCTCCGCAGGCACGCCCCTGCAGGGCTTCCGTATGCGCGCACCTTGCTCAGGGTGATCTTGCACGACGAGCCGGCCTGCGCCTCCTCGCGGGCTGCGGTAGCCTCTTTCTCCTTGGCGGCCAGGTCCGCCTTGAGCTTGTCCACCGCGGCCTGGAGCTTGCCCTGCGGGCGGCATCATGGTTGGCGCAGCGCGCTCAAGCAAAGCGGTTTGGGAGCAAAACGCATTCGGGCAGAAATTGCCGACTACCGTAGGGACAGATGCCACAGGGGTGAGCACTGCGACAACATGGGAGAATCCATGCACAGGCGAGTGCGCACCGCCTCAGCCGTGGCGCTGCCGTGCTCGGCCTTGCAGCTCGTCAACGCAGTCTGCGTGGCAGGTGGTTGATCAGGGTCCAGGGCTCGACGGCAAACGGCATGGCAGACGTGCAGACTTGCGGTTTCAAACACAAATCATGGCCAGCTGCAGCGCAGGAAGGTCTGGCTGTTCATGCACAGGTTCATCTATGCTTGCACAGCTGACACACAGCCTCAGCAAGTTGTGGGGCCGCCCGAGCCTACCTCGGCCTGTACCGCCTCGCTCAGCTTGCCATTGCACGTCGCCAGCTGCGTGCTGATTTTGGCCTGTCATGCAGTGTTAACGCGCATGAAGCCCATGTGAGTGTGGCGCGACGAGGCTCCATCAAGACACGCGGGCTTGGCAGCTCCTTGACGGGGTGTGAAGGTCGGCTGATGAGGCTGGCGGGGTCAAGTTGCGCTTGCCGGCGCAGGTTGTGTTTTTCCCACCTGCTCATCCTGCAGGGCGGACAGCCGTTTCTGCAGTTCGGCGGCCTCAGCCTGTGCAGCCTTGAGCTGCGTCTTCAGCTCTGCAACCTCCTGCAAAGAGTGGTCGCTGGTGGACTTGGGCATTTGCTGCATGCAGGGCGCACCAGCGCCATCCGCACGGGAGCAGTGCACAGCAACGCATGCAGTGCAGGGCGTCGCTCGTCAACAGCTCTTACCCCTTCGCTGTCAGCCTCGGCAACACATGGGCTGGCAGCGCTGAGGATCAGCGCCGCGGCCAGGGCCAGGCAAAGGACTCGTGCGATCATCCCGCGCTGCGCTGGCGACCTTGGCGAAACAAACCAAGTATTGTGATGAGTGCCACGAACAGGGTGTGCAGGTACACGACGGATTGTGCGTGGAGCCCGCGCGGTGACTGATCTTCGCCGCTTCGCAGCAGCCAAGTTGCCAGTGACACGATGGTGGAGCATGAAAATTGCTCACCGGGACGCGCGAAATCCCTGGGACATGGATCTCAGCAGTTTAGGCAGCCTCTGGTGGGCGACAGCGGCAGTTGGCGGTCGCAACCGCTTGCAGCGTGGTGCGTGCAGAAGCAGGGCGGGACATGTGACGAGAACTAGAAAGGTCGCTTTTTTGGCCATTTACTACTCAAGCTCACGCCCTCTGCCACTCTGGTCGACTCGCTGTCACGCTCATGAAGTGATTATGGAGACGAGTCCCGGCTCAACAGGTGAGGGCAGACATCCCCCCCCTTGCTTTGACCACTATGTTGCTTGCCAGACACTTGCCATGCGCCCGCGGTGAGACCGTGACGGCCGTCTAGGAATCCAAGGCAGTTGAGGTATCTTTGATTTACTGGTGGGCTGGCCAGCCGGCTTGCGTGGCAGCGGCAGCGTGTTGAGTGTGCTGAGGTGGTGGCAGCCGTCGGCTTTGGGTGGCGTCGACATGGGCTAAACAGCAGTCTTTTTAAGTGTGGCATAAACTGGATAGCAAGGTAAGCTGAGGCATGTAGATACACAAAGCTTACAAAGAGCTAATATACCCTAGATTTCACCACCAACTGGGTGATGATGATCGCTGGCTGACTACAGACACCATGCGACGAAGTAGCGGCACCTAAACTTTTTGGGGTCCCGTGCGAGCTCACACCTGCGAGATCGGGGCAAGAAGCAGCAGAAGCAGCCGAGACCCCGGTTGCGCCAGCTGTGCCCCAAACCAATTACCCCCAGGCCCTGGGGACCACAATCAGCAGCGCATGTAGAGTGTATGCAGGCTAACAGCCATTGCAGAGGGACCCCAAAAAAGCCCGACAGGTCACCAGCCCGCTGTGAGGCATGACACGACAGGCAAAGCACCGGCCGCATGGGGTAACCCCCAAAACATTTCGACGTGGACGGTGAGGGTGCAAGGCAGCCTGAAATTGCACCACAGGTCCCCCAGCTTACATGTTGTGTGCACCCTTGTGCCCAGACGCGGACTATGATGCACAGTCAGCATCCCCGAGAGCCCGCATGCACCGCTTTGCAGTGTTTTTGATTTTGGCGCCTGGATGTGTGTTGGCGTACCATAATTCAGTTCGGACCAATCCTGCGTTATGGTGATGTCTGCTGCCCACTGCTTCCCACTTGGGCGTTTACAGCGCAGCAAGCAGCTGCATGGAAGAGAGCGGAACGAGGAGCACCAGCCAACGAACAGTCTGTATGACAACACCATGGAGATCGGTCATGCAACATCACAGCAGTACTAAGCACACTATGCAAGGCCACACATATTGAAAGAGTTGAATTCTGTCTTTCTGAGTGTGTCGCGGCCAGGGGCAGAGCAGAACTGATCGATCCTTGGTGGCCTTACAAGCCTACCAGTAAAAGCAAAATTGTTTTGAAGGCGTTCAGACGGCCCAGTGATGCTCGACGACAGTACAAGATAATAGTGATGGCCAGCCCGCGCCTCGTGGGTGCCTCTGAGGCCCACAAAATAAAAGCAGCTGGTATTAGAAACTTGGATGGCGCTGGACTGATGCTGATGATGCTGGTGGTCATGGCGTGCAGCGTCCATGGTGACGCTGCATCAAGTGAAAGCAGCTCCGGCCCCAGCTCCGCCGCACCGCAACTGGAGTGGTCTACGCGCCTTCGCACAGGCGATATCGTCACAACTAGGCAAGCGCACGGGTGAGACCAGGCATGCGGCGAAAAGCTCTTGCAGCCGAGTTTGTTCTCGCCCTGCACGCGAGCAACAGCATCTCCCCAGCTCCTTCCCATCCGCTCCGCAGCAGCCGCGATCGGCAAGGCTGCAAATGTCCGAACTCGAGGTACCATTCCCCGACCCCTCCTCGCGCACATCCTGTACCGCCGCAGCAGCGCGCACGAGCGCCGCTCTCTCGTGGAGCTGGACGCGCAGTGGCGTGATCTCGACCCGTGGGTGGATCTGGAGGCTGCTGCCCCTGCGGCCGCCTGGCCCCTGCATTCTTACGAGCAGTACTACTTGCAGCTGGCGCCGGGTGGGCGGGCGTTCTGCGGATTCCCAGCGGCGGTGTTGGACGAGCGCATGCGTGCGCTGTTTTGCATGTTTCAAGCTCCATTCCGCCGCCTCGAGGTGAACCACCAGCGCCTTGTTCTGGTGATAATTGTCACAAAGACCTGACACCTCGGGCGCCCTGCCCACTTGCAAACCAGCCCGTGGCTGTCCCTGTACCCACTGCATTGCGCGCTCCTGCCCCGCACATACGGCCGTCCATCCAACTTCCACTCCATCCCCCTTCCCCTTTCAAATTCTTGGTAGGCAGCACCACTGAGGAGGAACATGAGATGCTGTCTCAGCTTGAGGAGCACCGCGGGCTGGTCGCCGGCTTTGTGCCAGACAACTCGTGGCACGTGCTGCTGCCCGCCGACGCGGCCGACGCCGCGCGCGCGCGCCTCAAAGCTGGGGCCTCCCGGCTGGTGAGCGGCGCGCCCCGGCTGGCTGTCGGGCGGCTTCCTGCCGTGCCGTGCTGCGCCGCCCGCGGCCCTTGCAGCCTCCAGCCGTTCCATGCCGCCCGCTGACCCCAACGCGGCCTCACTCAGTCTGCTTGCCTCGGCTCCTGCTGCGTGTCACCTCCCCCACCAACACATGCGGACCCAACCCCACCCAACACCACAGGTCCCAATAGCAGCGCAGGACAAGGTGTCCCCAGAGTGGGCCGCGGTCCAGCAGCTGGTGGGCGACGACAGCGCCAGGGCCGCGCTGCTGGGCGGCGCCGCCGTGTCCGCACTGCTCCGGAAGCGGGGCGTCAACGTCACGCACCACATCGGCGCGCTGAGCGTCGAGGCGGACGAGGGTGAGCGTTGTTTGCAGTGCGTTTGTGAATCGCGCAATGCAGGGCTGATGTGCTGGCAGCTTGGGGCCGGCGTCAAGGGGGTGTCGTGCAGTCACGTTGTTATGCACGTGCGATCAGCTGTTGGCTGCCTAATCATTGTCAGTGCTGCCCTGCACCCTCACCATGCTCAGTCTGATGTTTCCAGCGGATTATTGCCCAATTTTGAACAACGTGCAAGCTCATATGACCCCGCTGGTGTGACCCCGCCCACGCACATCCACTCACACACACGCACGCTCACCCCTTCGCCACCACCACCACTTGGCCAACGCGTGCAGGCCGGCAGCCCCGCGTCCACGTCCGCGTATGGTTCCCGCGCCCCACCCACGCCGACGCGCAACGCCTCGGCTTTGCCCACACGGGAGACCTGAGCCCCGGGGCGGAGCTGGCCGCAGAATACGCACACACGCTGCGCAAGGTGATCGCCGCCGCCTCGCGGCAGGAGAACCCTGACTCAAGGCAGCGGCGGCGAGAGGCTGGCGAGGCGGCGGCGAGTGAGGGGTACGGGGACGCGCCAGGCCCCGTGGGAACGTCCCAAATCGGGAGCTTGCCGCTCGCCGGCGGCGCCGGGCACAGCAGCCTCGGCTGGGCAGCGGCTGCGAACGCTTCGGCGGCGGCCGACGCTGCGGACGGATGCGCTCCCGTGGTGTCGAGCGGGGCATACACTCTGGATGTGCTGGTCTGCTTGGAGGTGGGCAGCGCCGGCGCACGCATGGACTGGCTTTTGTTTTAGGGCGCCCGCGCATCACGCTGCCGCACCCCTAGCAAAGCGCTCTGCTTTGGTTTGCATGAGAGTGTCCGGCAGGAGAGTGTTCGACATGGCTGTGGCACTCGCCACTCGGTTCATCACCCACATTTGCGGCCAAATTTCGTGCACACACCCCTCCCAACCCGCTGCCTCGCCTGCCTCCTGCCCCACGCCCTTCCCTTGTAGCACGTCGCCCCGACCCTGCAGTGGCTCTCCCGCCAGCCGTCGGTCCACTGGCTGACCCCCAAGATGGCCCCCGCCTGGCGCAACCTCGCGGCCAGCGCGGTCGCCCAGGGGTCCCCGGCGGCGGCGCGCCTGCAGCGCTTCCAGGAGGCGGTCGACCCGGGGATGCACCCGCTGTGGGCGGCAGGGCTCAAGGGGCAGGGGCAGGTCGTGGGCGTGGGCGACAGCGGCGTCGACATGGACTCCTGCTTCTTTTTCGACCCAAAGGTGGGCCATTTTCGACGGTGCTGCGTCGCGGGGGTATCAGGCGGGCGTGCCGCGTCATCACAAGCGGCGCCGTGTCAGGGGCTCCACGGCCGCGTTGCGCTGAAAACGAGGCGCAGGACACGCGGGCGCCCAGGGCACCGGCGCAACTTGAGCGGACGCTTCGATCCGCACGCCTCCCTCTCTTTGGCGCAATCGCCCCCCCCCCTCCAGCTGCCAATCTATCCGCTTTTGGCCCCTCAACCGCCCCTCCCAGGTGCCCTTTGCGCCCAACATCAAGACAAACGCGGCCGGCGGCGCCATGTTCCGCAGCGACGAGCACCGCAAGGTGGCGCTGTATTATGGCACAGCCAACACCGACACCGTCGACGCCGTCGGCCACGGCACCCACACGGCCGGCACCATCGCCGGCTCCAGGTGGGCCAAACCCCACAGCGGCCGGCTGTCGCCTGCAGCACGCTCCGCAGCCAAAAACCATTCGGACGCCGCGCTTGCGTCAACCTGTCGGCTGGGAGGTTGTGCCCCTTCCGAACCTAGAATTGCCCCCCCTGACCCGCCGACGTCCGCCCTGCGCTGCCCGCCCGCGCCCTTTCTAATCTGCGCTGCCAGGTATGACGCCGACGGCAAGCTTGATTACGCCACAGGCATGGCGCCGGAGGCACGCCTGGCTATCCGCGACCTTTCGAGCGGCAAGCAGGTACGTATGTTGCCCGGCCTCGTGTGTGCCTTGCTTGCATGTGGATGTGGACAGCCTGGCTTGCAGTCGCGGCTGGTGCTGTGCCGTTGCACACTTGGTTTGCAAAACATGGTCACCCACAATGCACAGTTGAACGCTGGCGCATACGCAGCATGCAAATGCAAGCACGCGCGCACACACGCACACGCCTACACACACACACACACACACACACACACAGGCACACGCGCATAACCACACACGCACGCTCACACACACTGCACACACATACACAAACACGCATACACACCCTCTGCTGCCATCGAGTGAAGGGCTATGTGACGGCACCCGACGATCTGGACAACGGCTACTTCCAGCCCGCGTACGACGCGGGGGCTCGCATCCATTCGGACTCTTGGGGTTCTGACGTCATCGGTGAGCTGCTGACATCATCAAGCACGTTGCGTAATGAACGTTTCTGGGGCTGTTTGCATCGCGGATGCACCTCTGGGGGCCGTGATTCCAGCAGAACACATACCTCGATTTGCTGTGCATCCCGTGGTCCAGGCTTGGCTTGTGCATTTGGGGCTGGTCGTTCAGACTGACATACGGCAGCTGGGCTTCAGCCTCAAACCAAGATGGCAAGTGGCCACTTTGGCGGAGCCGATGGCTACACGATCACATGTTTGCTGGCCTCTTCCTCGGCTAAACCCTGCCTGTCCACCGCCCTAACCCGCACCCATCCGCACCCCAGTGTATGACTACTCGGCCGCCACCCTCGACCGCTGGCTGTATGAGCACCCAGAGTTTGTGTCCGTCTTCGCCGCCGGCAACTACGTGAGCGCGCGCTGCTGCGCAGATTCAGGGCGCCCTGATGGCTGACGTAGGATCCGCCGCACCGCTTTGGTCCTTTTGACAGCAGCGTGCACAACACCGCCCCTCAGGCCACCCCCCCCCCCC